TGGCTCTTTAGCTAATAAATGCTCCACTATGTTCACCTTAACTCTTACAGGTCTCAATAATACATGTAAAGCTGCTCTTGACTCCGGTTTAAATCTGTAAAGGTTTTCAAACCACAGCATGCAGCTTTATTTTAAGACATTTAAGGCTCTTTGTAACACGTTTGCTGTATAAATAAAGTGTATTATTATCATTATTAGTAGTAGTATAACTGTGTCTGTTCAGTGGGTTTATTATAAGTTTTAATCTGAAAACAACTTCCTGCTGCAGCTGTAAACGAGGTTTATGAGCGAGTGAGACTGAACGTAAACAAGTGTGTCATAAAACCAAAAAACAAGGAGCTAAAAGAGGCTAAAAATGAATTTGTTTATATTTAATTGTGTCTTAATTAGCATTAAATATGACAGCAACCCATTAAACAGAATAATCCTGAATTTATTTGCTTTCATTTAACATCAAACAGGCAAATATTTAACTGTTTGATTGATTTTGTTGTGACAAAGCACGACTACTATTATATAATATCCGATCAATACTTCATGTTCTTTATCTCAGCCTGCAGTCGCTGTTAGAGGCGTTTCCTGCCGATTTACAACAATTACGCCACATGTGGTTAAACGTCAGTGACATTACTGATGTTTACAGCTCTGCTCTGTCGGAGAGTCGGGAACTCGCAGCTTACTAATCGTATAATTACAGCTTCTTAATGAACGAATGTGGTTATCACTCCAGGAAATGACATAAGTTTGGGTGTTTCCTCCATCGCACCGCTCAATGACCGGCATCAGTGCATTGTCTGTCTGCAGACGAGCTCACAGCTCAGAGTGAAACAGGTTTACACAGAGAAAAAGAATCAGGAACAAATACCTGAACAGAAAACGATGATTAAGTGTTAAATCTTTGGGGAAACCTTGTGGTTATTCGGCCGTAGCTTTATGAATTAGCATTAGAGTCTTGCATCATTTTCCTGTTAATTCAGAATAGTAAAGCTGATTGATTTCTGATCTGTACTGTTAATAGCAGATACTGTGTGTATGTAGTGTGGAACTGGAGCTGTCCGTGGTGCTGATACACAGAGAGCTCAAAGGGTGTTTCGGGTTATTGTCTGTGTTTATTCATCTTTATTTTCCTGTTTTTTGGCCTCTGTGTATAATCTCAGTCAGTATCTGCCTTAACTACTGTGTGTAATTATCATAAATGTCTTTGATTTGTCTTCATTTCCAACAATTATCTGCCAGAAACCTTTTTAAGGCCCCAAAAACCCCTAAAACAGGAGTCACGTACTGAGTCTCATCTTAATAAATACAAATAATACACATTATTATATTACTGTAGTCTGTGCTTTTACTGCAGTTAGTGTAATTAAACTTCTCTGACAAATTCCTGGAGCTGTTTCACCCCCACAAGCACAAGTTTTTTAAGGTACATACTTTTATCTCTAGAGTATGATTGATTTAGTCAATGCAGTAACAGAATCTGGATCCATATCTATATCCCCATAATCTTGTTTTCTTCCTACGTATCTTCATTTACGTATCAGTCGCACAACAAGATGATATGAAATAATATCTCCGGTTGTCATCACCGCAAGTCAAATCCAATTCCACCAATGGCTTCATCCTTTGAGTCCCTATTGATCATTAACAAGGATCAATAGGGTCAATACCAGTAGATCAATCTGACACCTCACACACAGCTCAGAGTTATCGATATCAGGTGAACAGGCGGACACTTTTACTCAAAAACACTCTCTCACATACACTCAGTGTTACGTCCTTTTAACAAACAAGCAGCAGAGATGATAATCAGATCACACTCACACTGACACTGTGTGTGTGTGTGTGTGTGTTTCCTCTCAGGGGTTCGTGGTGTTTTACAGTAATACGCTCTGACACAGGAACACACACTCTCGTCGGTAGCCTCGAGGGCCGGATATTCTGGCACATGCGGTTCTGTTAATCCTACATTAGGCGTCCTCACCTGTAGCGACGGCGCCGGATTACACAGGGACAGAAACCGACACAGCCTCGTGGAAATTACATGAATTATCAGGACATTCAAGGAGCTTTATGGTCACGACAGTAAACATATTAGTTAAAGCTTCAGTGTGTAACATTGAGGAGAATCATTAGTGTTTAAAGAATGTTTTTTATCGCCTTCATTGGAGTCCGCCATGTTCCTATGGACCAACAAAACACTGGATCTAGCCTCCAGAGTTGCTCCCACACACTCCACAGCCCGTTCTCATTCCCAGGTCGTCAGATATGATGCGAGCGGTGTTCAGTTAGTTACAACCTGCAGCTTACACTTAAGTTATCCGTACTTCTTCCACTACTAGTGTCATGTGAAACTAGATGAGCTAACGTAGTCGTTCCCAACCTTTCTTTAAGCCCTTTTCTATCAGTGAGTAAACTAAGTGACATATTTAACACAATAACTGCACAAAGTTTGTGTGAAACCAATGTGATTTTCATTTAGGAGCTTTTTATGAAATTATCTGTCTGTATTATGTATTTTTACAGTTGTTGTCAAATTAGATGTTTTCTTCTCCCAGACTTTAACGCAGGACGAGGCTGTTTATCAGAGCGTGTAACATGTAACTAGACAAAAATTAAAACCACAACAGCTGCAGGGAGACGACACAGGTTCAGATTTTGGACGAGATCTGCAATTTAAATTAATTAAATAATAATAATAACATATAATTTATCATTAGTTATATATCGCCTTTTAAAAGCAAGTTTACAAAGTTCTTTGACAGACAAAGCAAAATTATAGCTACATAAAATATAATTAAATATAGAAAATTTATATTGTGTTCAGGTCTTAGGTCATTTACAGACACTTAATGTTGATCTTGTGCAGTTTTTTTTACTTTTGGTATAAATATGTTGAATATTTCTGCGTACTGGGGTCCATAAACTGTGTTGGACTTCCATGAATTGGGAATAACTGGCAAGCTGAGACACATATTCCAGTCAAAAAAGTCTGGAAACGCCCCTTTAACCTTTAAAGTGGACATTAAACAGTCTAATTTTGTAGGTTGTGTTGTTTACATCTGTTTTACCATATAAGAATAATTAAGCCATATAAATGTAGAATTAAATTGAAAACAACATGTAGGAACGCAGCTGCTCTTCCACTAGACTGTAAAATATTAAATGTGCAGAAGCTAAATGTCAAGAAATACAGTTGAGCTAGTTTGGATAGCTAACTATCTTAGCAGCGCTTTAACAACAGCCATCTTAGCTTTTAACTGTAGTGGAATTCATGTTATTTGTTGTGTTTAAGTTGCTTTAAAATGTAGAAAATGAATCTTTCATCACTTTTCTGTCACAGTGTGGAAACTTTAAACACTCCCAACAGACTACATCATTCACGAGGGAGAAATAAGTCTGAAAATTACTTATTTTTGCAAAAGTACAAACATTTTGTAGACAAATTACAATCAGGCAAAGGATGATTCAGAAGAGTGTAACTGATTGGCTGTATTGTCCCCAATCAGGTCACTGTAGAGGGGTTATTGATCAGCAGGAAAGCACTGCGACCATTGGATGTCACATTCAAAAAGCAGGAGTCAAAAGTTGAACATGAAATGGATTTAAACACATTTACTATTGAATTGTAGTTGTTGTCTAAGCACTGATTGTACCTACAGGAAAATATCTATATAATATAATATATTTCATATTATCTTAAAACTGTACAATGAACCAAATAATGAACTCAGTAACTGCAGGGAGTTTGTGTAAAATGAGTGTTTGGATGAATTTTGAGCAAATTAATTCCTGTTTAGGGAACTTTTTATGCAATTATCTATCTATTATGTATTTTTTAAAATATTTTTTAACAATCATTCAGACTTAATAGGCTTTTTTTGTGACAAATTCAGTGTTTTCTTCTCCCTGACAATCAGCCGTTGTGCTATTAGACACTTCACATTTAGGACCTTTAAACCTTTAAATCCTTGAAAACATTTATCATTTGTTGTTCGGAGTTGTTCTGTCTTCCAGGTAGATTTCTGATGTCAGACATACAGTGCTGGTTTCAGTTTCAAATTTACAGACGAACCTTGTAAAGGAACCTGTAGCTGAGAGCCAGACGGCTCTGTGTCACCGGGGAATTTATTTATTTTAATACTCTTTTACAGTCGTCTCTTCCCCGTCAGACGGTAGGTCAGAGTAGCATGAGGACAAACACAGCAGCTCCACGCCTGGAGGTGTTCAGTCACATCCACCTGACAACCTGCCCCCATACCTGCACCGTTATATAAGGAGAAGAAAAAGTTAAATAGTAGAAAAAGTAGAGGAAGAAGTAGTTAAAAACATAACTAGTCGAAAATTAAAACCAGCAAAACCAACAGCTGCAGGGAGACGACACAGGTTCAGATTTTGGACGTTATTGGAGATCTGCAATTTAAATAATAATAATAACAATTAATCTATCATTAGTTATATATCGCCTTTTAAAAGCAAGTTTACAAAGTTCTTTGACAGACAAAGCAAAATTATAGTTGTGATACATAAAATATAATTAAATATACAAATGATGAATACCAAAAATGTAATAATAAGAGCAGAATAGAAGCCATAAAATGTTTTAATTAAATTAAAAATTGAATAAAAATAATAAAAGAACATAAAATCAAATAAAAACTAAAAAAACAACGATAATAAAATAAAATTAAATAATAAAAATTAAATAATAAAATTAAATTTAAAAAATAAAATTAAAATAATACAATTAAAATAATAAAATTAAATAAAATAATAAAACATTTAAATAAAAAACTTAAATGAAATCCCTGCTGCAGGACAAAAGATAAAGATAAATGAATAAGAAATCTCCTGCACAGTGTTGATAAGTTGCTCCGTGCCGACGTGCCGACCGCCTGCAGGGGTTGTGTGGGAGCTCAGAGCAGCTTCGAGTTCAGTTTATAGTTTCATGTTTTGACATGAAGTATTTCTGCTTCCTCGTGTCCATGAAGACCCGTCGTCCTGCTGCTCAGACTGATGGAGAGACGAGTGGGAGGAGGGAGGGAGGCAGGCAGGGAGGGAGCACGCGCTTAGTTGCCACGGAAACGTTACCACGGCAACCCACAGCAGCTAACTGATGCTGAATTAGTGCACGGTCGGCTGCTGTTAGTGTGTGTGTGTGTGTGTGTGTGTTTCCCCGGTGCTTCCCTGCCTGGCACACAGACAGGATGTAGGCGTTGTCGTGGGCGGTGACCTTCAGGCCTGTGCGTCACGTCTCATTGGAGGTACAGTTACCAGGAACTGTTATGTAATCACACCTGAGCAAATTAGGTTCAACCAGGTTGGTCTCTGTGAGGGCTGAGAGGGTCCTGAACTCCCCCGGGCCTCTGCTGGGTTCATACATCAGTGCCGAGCAGCCGAGCACCGTTCAAACCTGCAAAACTTTATTTAAACCGGAGAGACGGTAACAAAAGAGACACATGATCTTCATCAGCAAAAGTTATTATGGAACTTTTTTTAGTATGAAACATGAGCAAGAAATCTTGAATGTAGTTGAGTTGTGTTCTTACATTATCGAACAATGTTCAAAGTTAACGCCTGTGTCAGCGTTGTGGTTGTCTGCCAGAAGCTGTCACACATTGACTGTTTATCCAGTCTGAAGCCACATGTTTACCATCCACTGTTTTAGATCTTGGTGCTTTTTAACTCTATTTGAACACGGATGAAGGATTTTATCATCGGACGCTGGATCTTAAGTTATCAGAGAAACAAGCTGAGCTAACGTTAGCAAGCAGCTCGGCTCGCAGGCCCCTCCGGGACGTCCTTTGTCTGTCCAACAGCGTGGGAGAAGCAGTGATTGTTTAAGGTGGAACTGCTTTATTCAGTGTGTTTAGTGGTTTTAATCAGCAGGCTCTGTTTGTTTTGGAGAGGAGGAGACCCTCTGTGGATAATTGGGCTCCCGGTAGAAACCTCCTGAACCATGAACACTGAAGGAATCCTAACCAGGAGAAGCTGACTGCAATGACGCCAATGGTGGTGAAGACAACAACTCCCATGATCCCACACCCCCTAGTGGCAGAAATTACATGATCATTTGCTGATGAAGATCATGTGATAATAACTGAAAGCCCAGAAAAGATACTAAAGACAGCAGACAACAGTTTGAGCTGAAGTAATATCCAGCCACACACACACACACACACACTGATTTCTCTGATTCATTGAACACCAGTAATCACCTGCTTGTCTGTTGCCGTGGTGATAAGACTCACACACACACACACACACCAAACAAAGAAACCACGGCACTATGTTTGACCCATTTGACCTGAAATAAATCTGTGTGTGTGTGTGTGTGTGTGTGTGTGAGACACTATCGCCGCGGTAACAGATAAGGGATGACATCACATCCTCATGAATGAACTTTGAATGTGTGTGTTTGTGTCTGTTACAGCGCGACCGTCGCCACGGATACGTGTGCACCTGTACACTGTAAAACCTGACCAGTTAGTTCAAACAATTAAAAGCATTAAAGATGTTTTGAGTCGAAGTAATTCAAGTATTTATTGTTAAGGTAACTTGGATAAATTAAGTTATTTAAGCCCTTGAGTTTTAGTGATTTTCTGGAGGGTTCAATTAGAAGAAGAAGACTTTATTAATCCCCAAGGGGAAGTTAACTTACTTCTTTTATTAAGATGTGTTGTCAGGATGTTATGAAGAATTGTTAGCACACTCTGGGGTAATTATGTAGATAATAAATAACCCCTGTTTCTCTCACTCAGGTCCCCACGTCCACCACAGAGCTCAGTACGATGCTGTTACCCCGACCTTCGTCCACACAAGGCTCCGAGCGGAGGGGGAGGGCGCTCAGTGCTGCCAGCTACCTCACCGACGCCATGGAAGGTGAGAGGAAACGCCAACACAGCGACAGCTATTCTACCATGACATGTTGGAAATATAACCACATTTTGAAGAAAAAAGTGATAAAAGCATCTTAAGTTAGTGAAACGCAGCCTAATCAACATTAATATCTCTATATCTAATGGTTGCAAAAAAAAACTACCTGGTTAACAAGTTAAGAAAGGCTTTATTTGTGTAGCACATTTCATAAACCAGGATAAATCAAGTGTACTTTTACAGAGTAATAAAAGTGCAACGACATTACACATTCAAAAAGAAGTGACCCAAGAAATAAGATTTATAACAAGTGCAGTTTAAATTAATAAAACATTGGATGTGACTGTATATATGTTGCTTTTATCTTTAAAATGTGGTTGTTATTTCAACATAGATGAGACAGGTAACATATTTAAGCACAGGAAGTACAGGAAAGGAGACGAAGGAGGGAACAAATTGCTATAGTGATCGTAATTTTATTGTTTTAAATCCCGTCAACGTTGCCAGTATTCTCACTTAATTCTACCGTCCGGCTTTCATCCACTAACGTCACATCGGGTTTGCCGTCTGCTGGAAACCATGTGAACGACCTGTATGATGGTGTTGCTAAACAGAAGTCAGATGCTGCCACACACTGATATTAATGAGTTAATGCTGTGATATTAAGTGAAAGAGGAGCTCTGCGTCGGCTCTTATTCTTCATTTTATAAGTGTTTGTGTCAATATTTCACTGCAACCTTGTCTGACTTTTTACCTCAGTGTGTGTGTGCTGTCTCTGTATGTGTTTCACTTGTGTGTGTGATTGTGTAACTATGTATTTGTCTGAATTTTGCATCTAAGTGAGTCTGTTAACGCTTCTGTGTGTGTGTGTGTGTGTGTGTGTGTTTGTGTGTCGATACAGGATTGTGTAACCATGTCTGAGTTTGTATCTAAGTGTGTGTGTGCTGCCCCAGCCAACCCCAGGGGAACACTGGCTTTTGTTTGTGCCAGAGAGTCGGAAAAAGGGAGAGAGACATACAGACAGAGTGAAAGAAAGAGAGAGAGAAAGAGAGTGTGTGTGTTACCCTCATTAACCATGAGATCAGTCCAAGTTCCCGTGTGTGTGTGTGTGTGTGTGTGTGTGTGTGTGTGTGTTTGATGATATTCATGTATTTTGGGTTCATATCTGTTCAAATCTGCATTCATGTGTGTTGTAAGTGTGTGTGTGTGTGTGTGGGATAGGTCTGCTGAGTCACTGTCTCTCCCCTCGGCAGTCGCTGCTCTTAGAGCAGATCATTATACAGGAAAATACAAAAACTCACTGCTGTCCTCCCTCCATCCATCTGTACACCCTTCATTCCCTCCTTCATCCCCCTTTTTTTATTATTATTTTCTTTATTATTTACTGTATAGTTTTTATTTCTCATCATCTCATACGCCTTTGCTGATCTTAATGAGCTCTGTGTTCTTGGCTACCAGACAGTGAATCCACTTAAAGTCTTTATCTCCCAGTTTTATCATCAAGTTAACAAAATCTGTGATGTTCTTGCCAGAAGTGTGGCCTCGGGTCACGTGACTTGGACTAGAGTCACGAATCTAATGACTTTAAACAAAAAGGCAACTTGACTTTGACTTTAACACCAGTGACTTAAAGCTTCACTTGCACTTGATATCCTCCCCGCAATTATGTAATAATTACTCTTTATATTCCTGCAACCGGATGCACCAGGAACAATGGATGGAAATAAGGACAGGACGTTGTTATTTGATCAGTTATTAATATTACACTGTAAAAAAAAAAAAGTAAAATAAGGGCTGGGGAAAATAAAATAACTGACTTGTAAAAATCCAGTAATTTTCTTTTAGTTTTTGACTTAAATCTCACATAAAGTATTTGGCTTGTTAATATTTACACTATAAAAACAAAGGCGAACACAGAGTCGTCACACTTTCACCTCCCCTCCATCCTCCTAATTATTAACTTTAATATCTGCACTCAATTCACTTCTCTCCTCTTGTTTTGTTTTGTTTTTTTTGGCCCGGGCCATGCAGAACTGGAGGAGGCCCATAAGAAATGTCACCCGTGCTGGTACGTCCTCGCCCACCGTTACCTGGTGTGGGAATGCTGCCCCTGGTGGCTGAGGGTGAAACAGCTGGTGAATATCATGGTGATGGACCCCTTCCTGGACCTGGCTATCACCATCTGCATCGTCCTCAACACCCTCTTCATGGCCATGGAGCATACCCCATGACCGACGAGGTTCAATGGCATGCTGAGCACGGAAACCTGGTAGGACAGAGGGATGGATGGATGGGGATGGATGGATGGATGGATGGATGGATAGATGCTTTGGCATCTTATAGTAGTAAAACCGAATGATAGCAAATAATGAGATCTGTTCACACCACAAAACTATAACAAACACGTCAGTGGTGAAACAATTACAATGGGATCCTTTCAGAGTGATTTGATGACTCTACTATATAATGTAAATTACACATAAAAATGGTCACTTTTAGCACTGATGGGCTCTCTGAGGTGCTTAAAGAGCAACTCCACCCTAAAGCTGTGAACTGAATTATATGACTGTGATGAAGGCATTTCTATTGGTTAAAATGTCTCAACATAAGATGTTTTTGGACTCTTCGTGACATTTTTTGTAACACTCTCTAATCAGAGGAGCGGGTTTACCTCCCCCGTTAGCTCAGCTACAACACAGGTAGCACACAGAAACCCTACAAACAGCGTAATGTCTCAGCCCAGCAGACTCTCACTGCCTCTGTCACTTTTCAAGGCCACCCCATAAAGTCACTGTCCTTTGCAGCTCTGATGCATTTTTAAAATTTGCTGAGAGGGAGGAGAGAACTCAAGGGTGTAGTTACACTTTAATTTTTGTTGTCTCTGTGTTGCATTTCATAACTCTTTTTCAACCCATATCCTTCTGTTTTATTGTGTTTGTAGAACATACAGCAGTAACAGCTCATAATAACTTTATCCTTTCCCCATTAAGCTGCAACAGCCTATATTGTCTATGGTTTAAGAGGGGTAGTGTTGCAGCAACTACAACTGAAGACTACACGTACAACTTTAAACATAGATATGTTCTCTCCGGTTGTGATTTATATTTTAGAGATTTGGGTTTTGGTGAATCTCTTCCAAAAGTCTACAAACTTTCTTGCAAGCAGAGTACACGCCATGAACCTTTCACTAGGTGTTGCAGAACATGTTTGTGAATAAACAAACTCCAGGCAAGGTCAGGGCAGTAGATTTTTAGAAAGTGCAAAAAACAAGATATTTGGGGAAACACCTTGGCCTCTGAAAATGCCTCAAACACTTTTGTACAATTAAAAACCTCAGGATTCAGAGAGGAAAATAACACTGATTCTTGCTTTTCTGGAAAGAAAGATTGTGTGTGTTTCTTGTCTCTCAGTAGAAAAGCAAGGTGAGTTTTCAGTATTTGAAGGCTGACAGAAACGGTTCGGATAGCTTTAAAAACCACCGTGAACTAACTCCAGTGTTTGACCCTGCAGGTGTCCGGACGATCTATCAGGAGCTGGATTAGTGATGCAATCATGGTAATTTGGTCACCTTTGAGGTGTGAAAGGCTCACGGGCATAAATCACCATGTTGAACACACACCACCACACACCACACACACACACACACACACCACACTCCTACCTGTCCAGCGATGTCAGGTTTCCTCAGCTCAAGCCCCCGCAGCTGTGGTGGGGCATGAGAAATGGTAAGTATACAGCTTATTAAGTAGAAACAGTAGCTTTGGGGGAGCCTGCAGCAAGTTTGGTGTTCAATCTCACTGGGAGACTGGGCCGTAAAGGCGCGACTACTGTGGGCGTGTTACCCTGAGGAGATGAGGCTTTTCACTTAAAACTCTATATACACATGTTCCTTAGTTGTCAATTTAACTTTTTCCAGCAGTCAATTTCCGTTTCCCCCTCACTTTATATTCTGGCATGATAAAGATGGACGTTGCATCTCCACTTCCTCCCACTGTACAAAAATGCAGCTGCACGAGTCTAGCTGCCTTGCAAGGTTAAATTTTCCTCGCTCTGCCAGCTCATATTTTCCAAGGCAGTTTGAAAGTCAATCAGATCCCCTAGAAGACAAAACTGACTGTGATCAACGGGTGAATCAGCGTGTAGTCAATTTCTTTACCATCGCTCTATAAGTTCACCTGTCCAGCATGAAACCCCAACGGACATCATTTAATCAACAGTACGAGCAGTTATATAATGCTAATGTTGCTGTCACCTCCTCTGCAGTTTGATGTAGCTGTGTACTTCTGCAGCGTAAACAGTCCAAACTTCTTCCTAAATTCAATTTAGAGCAGTTCAGGTCTCAGATAAAGGCTGAGTCACGTCACCGGTATCCGATTGCAGTCTGGAGTTGCTAAGTTCTTTAGAGGATAAAGCCCCTAATCCTCACAGATGTTTACATAGCATTTAGCTAGCCTTTCTGATGGACAGGAGAGCCTCTGCTGTGTGTGTGTGTATGTGTGTGTGTTATATAAGGTAGTGTGTAGAGGATAATTTCAGGACATTACTGTGCTGACAGAATCAATGTCAGCTAATGCCTTCACTGTTTGTTGTTATTTGTCGTGTGCTCTTCAGCTTTGCTCTTCGGGTTTCACGTATCAATATTTCCATGCGTGTAAAGATCTAAGGGATGCATACCATTTAGTGGAGGCTTTTATCCATAGAGCTGTACTGTGCATTAAGTGCAGAGCCTCTCCTGGGCGTACTTAACCTTCAGTGTTTCTAATAGTGGACGCACACAATATGGTTTGACAGAAACTGGTTTTGTTGGCTGGTTCTGGTAGAAATAGGTTTTTGTTAACGCTGTAGACTGAAATGTCATTTAAATACTCCTCGTTCATTCAGCCTAGAATCACTGGTTTATGTAAGGTTTTCTTTTGCCCTCACCATTGTGTGATATATCTATCCCATCTATGTACATTTCAGTCAACACAAAAGCACGGTTGGTTGTGGTTGTAAGGAGCAGTTTTAACCTCTCAGGGTGTCTTTCCAGCCCGACATTGTTGACTTGTGTATTATGTCCTTAAAAAGGATACAAAACGGTGTGTTTCTTTACTTTTAAGATAAACTTCTCGTCATCCTTGGTGTCAAATCGCCTCTGACTGATTGCTGTTGCATGAAATTCAAACCGGAGTCTCCACAGGGTATTTTATTTTGGAAACTGAGCGGATTCTCTATGCTGTTTCTGTGTCTGACTTCTTGCCAGTGCAATCTGCTCTGTGCTGCTTGATGTGAGTGGGGTCGCAGCATCCGTCAAAAATAGACCAGCTGCGTATTCTCCGTGGAGCTGAGTGAAGAGACGCTTCTGGGATGTGATCATCTTTGCCGACCACATGGTGGATTTTGACCGTTACAGTATAGTATTTCCAAGAATATGTACAAAGTTGATTATATAAGATTCCCAGACCTTACCCAGGAGTCGATTTACAAGATGGTTTGCAGCATCAGTTGAGGCACCCGGTATTTTCACAGCATCCCCAACTAGACACCCCAAAGGACACCGTTATGAGCCTCCTCCGAGTCCACGAATAGACTGAACAAGAAACCTCCCAGGACCCCTCCAGCATCCTTGCAAGAATAGAAACCTAGTCCACTCTTCTAGGACCAGAACAGAATTTAGATCCATCCACCTGGCTCTTCCCAAACTTCATGTGACATTGGATAGACTACGGGCCCATTTCAACAAATGTGCAAAGGTTTGATTTAGCTTTTTTTCCCTCAGGATGCAAAAGCTCTTCTCGTGACTCATGGAGAGAGAAACTTATCTGCCATTTGTGATCAATCAATGAACAATCATGTGTGATCTGCATTCAAGCAATGCTCCAGGGCAACCCAAAAATACCCAGAACCTTCAGCATCTCAGGGTGAATCCCTTCGACCTTTGGCCTCTGGTCAGTGTGGAGCTTTCTAAACTACCTAGTCGACTTCCTCGGGATCCTCCATCTCTACCTTGATCACTGAAGATACATCAGTCGTGTTCAGTAGTCCCTTTAACTTTTCTTTCTTCCCCTGCTAAGAAATGCAAGACCCTGCATCCCCAGTTCACAGAATCTCTTCAGGTCCAGCAGAAAGTCCTTCTCTATGTCCTCCTTAACCCACATGCGAGTTCCCTCCTCAGAAGCTGCCATCCTTCTAAACTCCTGATACTTGTTTTCTGATACAGCAGTTTTGCTCCTTCCACTTTACAGCTCCTCTGACCGCTGGTGGTTATCAGCTGGTTCTTAGAAAACAGAAGATCTCTGGTGCCTCTTGTGGCAGCAACCCAAACAGCTACTGTTGCAATGGAGGCTTTCAGCATGACTCGTTCACACTCCTGACTCCGGTTCCTCTGGAGGACTTGAGGACCTTGCAGACTTTTTTATGAACGACTTGAAACTTTTGATAAGAGGTATTGACTGCCTCCCATTTTCCTCACAGTCTTGTTAGTGTGTGAATGAAAAATGAGCCTTAAAGTCTGCTGTAATGGAGTTTCTTTGTAGAGAAAGAGACAGAGAGAGGACAGTGGAGGAGAAACTCAACAAAGGATTGTGTGTGTAACTCTTGATAAAGGTGCTCCCTGTGTGATCTGGCACACTGCACAGTGTGAGGTTGTTGCTGGGTCCCCCCCCCAACACACACACACATAGTCCTCTGCTGTAACTCTTATCTAATTTGGTCAGCACTGTGGTGTCCTTGCTCAGGGGCACTAGAGCAGTGCTGGGGAGTGCAAAAACTTGGGGACTTATATTGTGTTTTTGGGACTTTTTGGGGGACCTGTGTGAGAAACTTCCCACCTTTAAGCGTCATTAACAAACAGTTATTAATGTAGATGAGTGGCCTTGAATTTTTTAACTTTAGGACAATTAATGAT